CGTATGATATGACGCACAGGCTATTCTTACGTCGCCACTACACAACGACACAAAATAAATAATAATACTACGGTACAGAAGTTGCACTTCTTTGATGTTGACTACTTGCCGATGTTTTAATAGCCTACATAATTATTATTAATTAGATAAATCATGCACGCAAGCTACATTAAACTTTATCGCTGCGCGCGAGTGTCTGTATGGCTTTGCATTTTGTCCCCGTCCTAGGTCACGGACGATATTTCATGGTTACCAAAGGCTTTCAACAAAAAGTCAAAAATTCTGAAAGAACCCTTTGATTATTTACTTATCGCGCTTATATTTTTACGAACTAGCTCGTATAGTAGTGAAACAAAATGGCGGCTGCAAGAGAAAGTGACTTCAGAATGTGAAATTATTAAATTTTTTCATTCTTTTTTTTTTAAAGTCGTTTTTTACTTTTTATTGAAAGTTAATTTTTCCAGTTCTTTTACTATATTTTTTTAAATACATTTTTGTAACAACTTCAACACCTTGGAACAACATAATATCTCTCTGTAATTAATAGAATCAGGCGTTACTTTGCGGAAATCTATTATATTAAAGCTTTTTAAAAAGTTACTTCGCAAACATCCGCTCTATAAAATAATATGATGTGTCTAAATGATGATGTCTAAATGATGTGTCGATCAATTTTATTTTGTTGCTGGGTCTATACGAGTTGCTGCTTCCGTTACTGACCAGCAACAAAATATCTACTATCTTTTTTCCTATAATTGGTTACTATATATACAGGTTATTAATTATAAACTTATTACTTGGTGCAGCTTATCGATCTATTTTATTTTGTTGCTGGCTCTTTATGCTTTCATATGAACAACAACAATATATCTGTTTTTCTGGTTTTGAATCTCCCGTATAGGCAGCATGTACACATTTATTTGTAACTTATTACTTGATACAGCTTTTCGACCGATTTTATGATGTTATTGATCTATTTATTAATTAGCAGCAAAATTTTCATTAATTTGGAACTTCAGAATCAGTATCAAAACATAAATTGATTTTTATTAATTTTTGATGTTATTTTTTAATTTTTGATTTTTTTTTAATTTTTTTTAAATATTTTTTTGCATTATATGTCAGCAACTAATTAGCAACAAATTATCCCGTTTAATCCGCTACGGCGGGGTTGATTGAAAATTTTTACTGTTATCTTAATGTAAAGATAGCAGTAATTCAATTTACTCAAAACCGGCTGGAGCAACAAAATCGCGATTTTGGTAACTAATTAGCAAGAAATTAGCTACAAATTCCTGTATACAATTTTTATGTTTGTGCTGACTTTTCACTGCTATCTTTATAGAGCTCGCCGCAATGTAACTTGAGCCTAAACCATTTTCCGTATACAATCCTATGAAGCTGACTTGCACAAGGCCACTCAGACCTAGCATGCTCTGATCGTGTAAACGTCATTTTATTTATTTCACTTTTATCCTAATTATTACTTTTTTTTTTGCTTCAATAAAAATAACAACTACAAGGTAAAAAAAAACCTTAGAATATTTGTAAGCATAGCTTGCTTATTAATACTACAAGTACAAAAAAAAAACAATAATAGCTTAGATGTTTTACTCTCTTTTCCTACAAATATTATACAATATAAGGAAACGCTTGAATTGCTTTGTGGCGTTCCTTGGAGGAGACCTGTGTTCAGCAGTGGACTTGTGACGGGCTGTAATGATGATTATGATGATAAAACCCGTGAAATATGAGTTTGGATTAATTACAGTTGTAGTGACCATGTTTTAAATATCGACTATATTTATAACATGGTGACATGACAGCAATTTTAATAGTTGAAGCAGTAGTGTACATAGAGATAAACTGATCGAATAACCTAAAGGTCGCATCGTGGCATTAATTGGCAGCAGTAGCGCATCCGTATTGATAATTCTAATATCTATATTATTACAATGTTGACTGGATATGTAAATGGTGAGCGTGGTCTCAATCGATGAGTAGAAAATTAAATTTGACAAAAAATTACATTGCGTACATCCGCTAGATAAAATAAAATGATGTGTCTTACCTAGTATGAAAAGCACCTCCCGCCCTCCCTCAATTGCGTGCACTATGCCCGTCACCACTAATCCCAGCACAACTACTGGGAGTAGTGGTGCTGGGATTAGTATTATTATATAATGGACTTCCACAAAGTAACGCCTGATTCTATTAATTATGATGAGTAGAAATTTAATACTAAACTATCGGTCGTCTATTGGTCGAAATTCGACCGTAATTAACTATGTTATAAGTTTGTATATTAAGCAAGCTGTATTTAACTATCAACAACACATTAAAACCAGGCACCAGAAAAAAAAAAGTATCGTTCACCCATTGACATATGATATAAAATCACTAATTTAATTTAAGTCATTCGTTTTATATTAAAAAATCACTAAAACGGAAACAATAAAAAAAACTGTATTATATTTACTAGATTGTCATGCCATTAGAGTATTACAACCATTTCATGTACTATGAGTTAAATATCCCAGCCCGTGTTTAGTATTACCCAATTTGGAACATTTATTTATTGACAATTTTTAATTTTTTGAATAACCTGTTTTAACATTTTTTTTAAATATGCTCTATTTCAGTTACTAAATATGCCCTTAATAATTAGATAGAGATTAAATAAGTAATATTTACGTAATTTATATACTTTGTTTACAAAAAACGAAATACGTTTGTACATAACAGAAGACAAAGTCAATTTACAGGTAAAGATTACTATATTTACTATGTCTCCCGCATTCGCTTTGTTTTATTTCACATATCGTATACTTATTCTCTTTCAAAGACAAATTTCGTCTTATTTGCGTTTACTTTCATTCCTGTATCTTTTAATTGTTACGCAAAGACAGTGCTATTTACCATCTATGGCTATATCACCATTTACCACCACGTGCCTTTAGACTCAAGATCCTAAATCTTTGAAGTAAGAATAGTCCCTCAAACATGCATATTTGGTAGAATTCACTCAAAAATTCCCATCTTACAAGAAAATTACGATAAGGTCCCTAACCAATTTGTATTCGTAAGAAGTATGAAATACAATTAAATTAAACCAGCCAGCCGGAGGGATTAAGCACAAAAGAGCTTTGAGTCTTCACCGATAGTTTTAAAACAAATGAGAGTGTAGGATCTGGAACTTTTTCTGAAGACAATCGACATCCACATTTGCACACCGCTGGGTACCTACAACACAGTATTACAGGCGCGGAATGTATGGGTATCATTCAAGCGGCCATAGCAATAGATGCTATGAAGGTTAATGACTTCTCCATCAGAATACTGACCGACAGTAGGGCGGTACTACAAGCCCTGAGTTGCAATGTGGTGAACTCGGTACTAATATATGAATGCCATCAACGATTAAATGATGTATGTAAACACAACAATGTGACTCTGCAATGCATAAATGGACACAGTGAATCCAGAGGCAACGATGCAGCAGACGAACTGGCCAGAAGACGATCGGCTCTGGCCACTATAGGGCCGGAACCAATCATACCAATCTCCTTTGGTAACGTTCGTTCACTGGTACGTAGACACTTCACAAATCAACACGCTCAACTTTGGAAAAATCTAGTAGACTGTAGACAAGCTAGGGAGGCCCTGCCTAAAATAAGTAGTTTAACCAAGGTTCTAATGACACTGAACCAAGGACTGTTGAACTTCTTCGGGAAGATTTCACAGCTCGAATGAATACATTATTCCTGCCCACGCGCAAAATACGCGCTTAGACGTAGAATTGCGGAAAAAAGCCCGTTTATTCAATTCAATTCAAAATAACACCACGTGGGATTAAGGTCAAGCAGTGGCTTATAATAAGTAAAAAAGACATGTTCACTAATGTTATCAATAACCAACATTTGCAACCCGCCTGTCGAAAATAGTGCTTCTACATTATTCGTCGTACTTATTGCAAGCTATTTGGTTTACACTAAAACATGTCTCGTTGCTTAAACTATTAATGTTACTATACACTTACATTGAAAGCTTTTATTTTGATTATAGATCATTAAATAATATTTCCAATTAATATCCTCGTTAATAGCAACCGAATGGTGGCGGTGTAAGAATATCCACTACCACCATAACATCCCGTGGGTGTCGTAAAAAGTTACAAGAGGGAAACTAAACCGAGAGGTACAGAAGCAACATCTCCCTGATAACAGCTGAATAAAAATAAAAACCTGCGACAAGCGTGAGAACTATAGCAAATATGCCTGTATGTATTTTTGTGGTAAAAATAGTTTTATTCAATTTGTAGTGTTCGGGTAAATATAAGAAAACATTAGGTTAAAGTTTATATCGAGAACAAGTACATTTTTTTTTTTTTTTTTTTTTTTATAGGATAAGGGTGACAAACGAGCACACAGTCCACCCGATGGTAAGTGGTTGCTGCGGCCCATAGACATCTACATCTATCCTCTGTTACAAATCAAAATGTAGATGCGTTGTCACCCGTGAGGACTAAGATGGAATGCCTCATTTCCAGTAAAAAGGGCCTCCGGCCACCTGCACTCACCAAGCGAAACGCAGAGGTAAACTTCTACTTCACGCTGGTTTTCTGTGAGGTCGTGGTACTACCCCGGTTCGAGCCGGCCCATCCGTGCGACAGCAAAAGCTGCCGCGTGGCTCTACCACTGTTAATAAGCTAAAATTTATAAATAATAAGTATTACAAATAAAAATAAAACAATAATTGTTTACTTTTATACAGTCAATATCAAATACATAATAGTCTGTGGTCAAACAGTCGTACAGAGTAGAGATCAAAGAGTATATATTCATTATGAGGAGACATTGGCGCCAAAGAATTTTAAAACGTTGCAACAAATAATTACTGAAAGATTGACTTAAAAAGCTGGAAATTTTGTGTGATTTCACATGTTCCTTTTCAATAGTTTGTGGAGTATAGTATGTCAAGGCTAAACTTTGTGCACTGACCGGTTGAGCGAGATGAGCTGAGACTTAAGCAGCTTGAAGACGATGCGCGCGTCCTCCTCCATGATGAGGCCCGCCTTGGCCATGTCGTTGGCCACCTCCTCGCAGTCGTCGTGCTCCATGTCGAACTCGAACTGGATCGCCTCGTTCTCCTTGTGCGTGTATGACCTACGAGTAATATATTATTTTTATTAATGCTATCCTTTTTAACAGTCCTTCTTAATCCACTGCAAGATTCTTCAGACTTTAACACCACTTACCAATGGTTGGCATTCTAGTTAAGCACTGGCTAACAGAATAAGTAAAAAAAAAGATGTAACCATTTTCAAGAATGGGCAAAAAATTTGGTAACTCGATTTTTTATTTTTTATTTAATAGGATAAGGTTGACAAGCGAGCACACAGTCCACCAAATAGTAAGTGGTTGCTGTGGCCCATAGACATCTACAGTTACGTTGTCAGCCACGAGGACTAAGATGAAATACCTCTTTTCCAGTAAAGAGGGTCTCCGGTTTCCTACACTCACCATACGAAACATAGCAGCATTAAGCTGCTATTTTACGCTGCTGTTCTGTGAGAGCATGGTACTCCCTCGGTCGAGGCAACCATTCGTGCTAAAACTATACAATTAATATAGCTCCAACATGGCTTTACCACGTTTTAAATTACTTGCCCATACTTAGCTCATGGCAGATAGGTTGGTGATGAACGTAGAGCCGGTACCCTCGCAATCATGATGCTGCCTCTTATAACCAATCTGCAGGACTTAGGTTCTACATTCACAAACTAATGAACTGCCTCTGTCTATCACCAGTGCCTCATTCCTCAGTTAGCAGGGTGCTCAAAGTGCAGGTTAATTTAGCACTGGAGAAAACGTACACATCACCCACCCTAACTAACAAACCAAACAATTAAAACATTACTATTTATGCATACATAATATAGTGCCTGTAACCCTCGAGCGGGTAGTCAGAGCTAAACATCAGAGAGATACTCGGACCCCGTAGCCTATAGCCTACACAATCACACACCCAATATCCCATTAGTGGCTTTTTTCCCCAACCAACTTCATACAAACTACTACTTCTTATATTTTTAAGCTAATAGTATTGATGTTCTTTTAAACGAAGCGGGCCACAAAAATATAATTTAAAAACATTAGAACCTAGAACGGGTCAGCTTTAACCTTGTTAAACAAATTTCTTGAAAATGATTCAATGATCAGTCTTCACTTTTCCTCTCTTCTGCTAGCTGGTTGATATACTGACCTCTTCTTGGGATCGATGATCTTGAGCCGAAACTGTATCTTGGTAATGTCGGAAGAAGTGACGAGATCGCGACCAACAATCTCAAGCCGCAATCCAATGTCCTCACCGAAGAACTCATGGTTCAGAAGATCCTTTACCTTTGGCCTAATGATACAAAACATTTTTAGTTATAAAAACACATTATAAAATTTAAGAACCTGTACTAAAACGAATCTATTAAGGCAACAAACGCGCACACAGTCTACTGATGATAAGTAAATGCTAAATCTCAAATAAACCTCACTTATCCTCAATGAAAAACCCCAATCACTATGTTGTAAAGCCTTGTTCTCAGTTCTCAGCTGCTTTTGGTTTTCTTCTCTCTCCATATGAAAAACCGCAGCATTAAGCTACTATTTTACGCAGCTATTTTAAGTCTGTGATAGCGTACTCCTTCCCCGATCTATCCGACCCATTCATACTACAGTCATTATACGCTAAAGCGTTCCATAGCTAAAAGCTCTACCATTTAATACTAACGATGTTTATTTACTTTTTGTATCTAGAAGTTCAAGTTAGCCTTCATTAACTTTGACATCGGAACGTCGAAAAAGCGCACGAAACGTCGCTAATTAAAAAAGTTAAAATTAATTGGGATAAAATCCTTAAAACTACTTTTATGCAATAAGTAAAAATATATTAAATAAAATAATAATATGCCAATTTTAGGCTTTGTGACATTTCCTGTATGAGGCTCATGTTCAGCAGAGGACTTGTTATAGGTTGTAATGAATATGATGATGATGATGATGCCAATTTTATCCAAGAATAATAGTTAACTTTTCCGAATATGCGATTGAATAGGTCAAAATATAAATACGATAAAAAAAATAGATATTAACGATTATAAAAATGTTATATTCTTTAAAAATAGGAGTGTCAAATAATATGGCAATTATTTTTAATATTTATTTGTCCTACCAAAAGAAGATATAAAGTAAAAATAAATAAAGTAGCATCCCTTAAGGTCCCCACTGTTAGGACTCCTCCACTCACACAATAGGTTTCAAAGTAGGAAAGACGCAATACATGTTTTCCACTGACCTCTATATATACAAGTACGTTGAACTGGCTGTGCCCTACAAAATGTTTATGCCAATTTGAAGTGCAGCCATTTTTCGTAGCGGGAACTAAATTCATATAATATGCCAGTCTGTTGTGTTGTTTAAATCGTATATCTGTATTTTAAACTTTTAAACGAAAAATGAAAGTATTTTGTGTAGTTTGAATATGTTTGATTTTAGTAATATAGTAAGAATTATTTTTAGTAATAATGAGTGTGTGCGTAATTTGTAAAACTCGTAAACAAAAGGAATGTGGAATATTTCATTTTAAATGAATTTATAGCTAATATTTCAAAAAAATATAGGTACTTAAAAATTTGTTACTAATCTCAATATCGTATTTACCAGCATGTTTGGCTTTATATTACTGAGTTTTGGATAAACAATAAAATTCAATAAGGTTATCGAATTCCTTGTCTATAATGCTTATCGATATTATTTTCTACCCATATCTGTTATCAACCAAAGTCACCGACAATAGATAATTACCAAATGCTGCGGTTGTTATTGATTCACAAACTCTAGAGTTTACCCAGTATCGGCTACGCCACATTTGAGTTGGAAAAACGCAAACATAGTAATCTGAGAGTAAGACCACAGAGTAAAATTATTCAAGGGTTAGTTACTCTGGTATAACATGGTTTTTGGTCGAATCCACTCTTAATACCATATTTTTATTACACGGTGAAATAGTAATAATAATATGGTATTCTTCAATGTAATGTTGTCCCGTCACGGTTCTTTGAACGATCTCATCTAAAGAGCTCGTATCTCAATATATGTTATTCTGGTTTTAGAGCTTTGTAGAATATTTAGAGACGATGGCAAGAGACCGGACGGTATGGCTTTGGAGAGATAAAGCTTTAGTGTGGGATACTACTAGCGAAGACACTTTGGCAGCCTCACATCTCAAGGGTACCTCGTTTAAAGCAGGGGCGGCATCAGAGGCAAATGACCTAAATAAGTAACCCAAATACAAGTCTCTGAGAGATGAGTACATATTTACGTAATTTGCTCTAGACTCGTATCGGTCTGTGGGGTTCACGTGCGGTGCAGTTCCTAAAAAAAACTATCCGCGACTGATCGTCGCTGTTGGTGATAAGAGGCCTGCTTATTTCTCGTTCAAAGGATAAGTATAGCCATTCAGAAAGGAAACGAAGCCAGAGTTCTCGGCACTATACCGCGGGGAGCAGGACTGTACGATAATTTCAATTTTTTTTTATTATACTTTTTTGATATTGTAATTTAAATTTCGAAAATGAAGTTGTAAATAACTACTGTGTAATTAAAAGTTTATATTATATATTTTTTATATCTTGCTAGATGGTACCCGGCGTATTGCTACCGCAGAATATATAATTAAAGAAATATCGTTTTAAATTTGGAAGAGTTATATTGTTTAATTATGAATGATAATACAATTATTGAAATTGAATTATCTATAACTTTCAAAAAAAACGATACGCGCGCCACCTTATGTAAGTTAATTGTACTATGAGTATAAACTTCGCGCATGTGCAAGCAATAAGATGAAAAAGTTTTACGGCAATCTGATGAACGATATGGCAGTGCATAAAATACGAACAAACAAATATTCATTTTTATATATTACAAGATATAGATTATTCTGTCTATCTATATACAGACCTGTAAAAAATGATTATTTTATTTTGTATAGTTACTTACACCAGTTGAATATTTTTCAGTATTTAATTGAAAATTTAAGCCTTGCGAATGAATCAATATTCCAGCCCGGAGCAAAGTCCGTTCTGTAGTTACGAATAAAAACGTAGACTGACCCACGCAAGGTCGATCTTGGTTTTATTATGAGGTATAAAGCTTGTGTCAAAAGCTTGTATTAATTGATACATTTATTAATTTTATGGCATTATATTAATAAGATACATAAATAGAATGGACGTTACAGGTAGGCCTGGGTATAGAATTTTTATCGATATATATTATCACACTGTCTTAGCTCTATTATTAGTTCCGTGGACGTTCACTTCTGCTATCAGCGCCAAAATGGCGGAAATCAAATCGCCTCATGTCTATAACACGTATAACATGTATTCGAATTATTTTTGTCGCAACATTTTTATTAATAACCCTCTTTAAGGATTCAAATTCTTAATTTTTAAAAATTGGAATTATATTTTAAATTCTTTTACCTGTCAGCTTTATTCGGCCTTATGCATGACTCGATGATATCTCTTACTTCTGGAATGGTCACTTTTTCCAAGCTTTGTGGTTTGACTCCCTAAGATAACACAAAATACTAAATCAATTACTTGGATTACTTAAAAGAAATAAACCGACTTCACAACCAAAGTTGGTTTATATTCGGGCAGAATCACTGCGCAATTTATATATTCTTATTGTGATAATATTTTGTAATCTAAAACAAGATTGAAAAACGAGAAGACTGCAAGGTTTAATCACTTTCAACCTCGTAGCTGCAATATCTAACTCCCTACCCATTACCCTGCAAGGGGGGAAAATCAAACAGCTTGCAACCTCCTAGTTAGCTTTGTCACATGAGTCACGGGCAAAATCTCGATACAAATGCCAGTAGCTCGTTTTCATCAGTATATGGCTACTGATTACTTACCGAGTTTGGCCCGACCCGAGATTTGAACCGAGACTACGTGATCACCAGTCGCCCTTACTACCACTAAACCACCGAGGTAATCAAGGTATGGTCTATAGGTACTATTGAAACATACATACAAATTCATACAAATATTATGAAAATGTTACCAAGGAAAATAAGGTTTTGAAGAGTGATGAGGGAAGTGTTTTTAAGGGTGACAAACGAACACACAGTCCACCTGATTTTAAGTGGTTGCTGTGGCCCATAGACGTCTACATCTATCCTCGATTACAAATCAAAATGCAGATGCGTTGTCACCCGTGAGGACTAAGATGCAATGCTTAGTAAAAAAGATCTCTACACTCACCATAGGAAACACAGCGGCGTTCAGCTGCTATTTTACGTTGGTATTCCGTGAGAGCGTGGTCCTTCCCCGGTCGAGCTGACACATTCGTGCTACAACTATACCACTAATATAGCTGCAGCATGACTCTACCACGTTTTAAGTCGATGAACAATGCCTAAAAACCCAATTTCGTTCATGGCGGGCAGTTTAAAAGACTAGCCGTCTGAGCAGGACAAGATTATAGTGCAAGCACAGGTACACTCACCTTTTCTAGGCTCAGGGGTGAAACACCACCAAATTCCTGACTCCGGGCTGCTACTGAGAATTTCTTGACAGAAAAACCCAACAACCAGATCTATTGGCATGATCCGGGATTCGAACCCAGTCAGCCGATGGATATAGGTGGCACAGAACTGTTTGTCGCATTCCTTACGTATGTATTCCTTCCAATAGTGTTCAAGTACTACGTAACGCAGTTTCCAAATATTTTACCCGCTAAAATTCCCTTGTTATTGTTTTATTGTTATTTAATACATAAACCAAACCTAGAATTTTCATAAAAGAACTGGTCATAAGTATTATATAACAATATAATACTTTTGGTTTGGTTTATATATCATAAGCCTTCCTATATGTAATATTATTACATTTTAGCAGTAAACTTACCTGTGTAAAATAACTAAGCATTGTTGCTTTCTTCTCTATGGCCTTCACCTTGAACTCTCGTATAACATCATTTATATGTTCTATAAACTTTTCTGGTTATTTTAAGCATTTAATGCAGTTGAATCGCGTATCTGCGAAGAACAATGAGAGGTAGCTTACCGAAACAACTTTCTTATAAATCTGCGCGGGTCCGCTGCACTCACTATACGGGTATTCGCCAGTGGCCATCTCCAGCATGCACATGCCGAACGCGTACACGTCCACCGACTCGTCGTAGTGCTCCTCGTACATCTCCGGCGCCATGAACTCCGGCGTGCCTGCGCAACAACAAATAACGAAATATTTCACAATTCGAGACTATATTTCTGATGATATTTCTTTAGAGAATCTCTTTATTTAATTAATTTCAAGGCTTTCAATAGATGGCGCTCGTTTATGCCAAAAGGTAGTACTCAGACCGGCGACTAGTAACAGCAGCGTCAAAGGTGAGATTACAGATACATTTCGTACCGCGATGCCTATGACATCTACGACTTTTTTGCCACCAGGGTGGCGCCACTTAGAAACGAGGTGAAATATTTGATAGATTACATTACGGGGAAATTAATTTGTTAAGAAAATATAAGGGTTAAACTTTCTTTTTTTTAATATTAGTTATAATTTATATTAATTAGAATAGAAATGAATAATATGGTTTATTCATTTCTAATCATTATAGACATTCCTAAAGGTAAAACGCAACTTCTCAATTAAATGACAATGCGAAACAAAAACCACAGTTTCACCTCAGTCCTCCACTAGCGACATCTGGTGTACGAAAGATTATTAGCCCTTGATTTATGACGAGCTGTTTCCCGCAACTCCACGTCTAAGCACGTATTTTGCGTGTGGAATTAGCCCACGGAGCAAATACAAAGAGGTGTTGTAATTAGTTTTCACTATGTAACAACGCGTAACAATTTGCGGGGTGAGGGGGTGTTAAGCCCTGTCCACTTAACTATTTCCCATCTACCGATAAACAGTAAAACTACTCGCATCGTTCCATATCGATGTTGCAATGAAGTTTAGCTACCTTGACGACAGATAGCGGCCTGTTCACAAAATGATTATAAAAACTATATAAAAAATATATATTTTGGCGATTAAAAACTCTTTAGGACTGAATGCAAGACAAATTTCAGCACTTTCGTATGATTATTTTACCGATACTAAGTTCTACGTACCTTCATATTTTTAGTTCCTTTTATATTTGAAAGCCGACGCAGAGATTTTTCTAGAGCTATCTTAATACTTTAGGTATAAAATTACTTACAAATGAAATATGATGCAATCGATAGCATCAGAACGTCCATCTGAGTAGTTTTTACACGATAAAACACAAAACTTCATCCTTTTCTTCTTAATACTACGAAAATACACGGACTTGCTACTTTCGACACATAAGCGCACAGGACGACCGCTAACACTATACTAACTAAAGCCACGCCCGCAATATTAACGTTAGGACCTAGTTAGAATTACAGTGCACCGTTGCTTAGGCCGTCTCCTTTTTGTATTTGCTCCGTGAATTAGCCCTTATTCGCTTGCCAAACGCAATGTCGGCTGATGCACCTTTGGAATTTCCTAAGTCCAGCAGTTGACTTTTAGGGGCTCATGATGGTGAAGATAAAGGTGATAGGGAATAATATTACTATTGTGAGTTGTTCTACGCTCGCCAACCCACCTCTGTCCTTTTTTCATATGTTAAAATGGTGCGGATGTGTTTGTAAAGCCCGATATGAAGCTAAGTGCAAGCGAGATGGATGAGTAGGCCTCGATTCGTCAGTTGATTGGTTGCGTTTGCGCGTCATTGGCAAGTTATTGACCTTATGACGTTTGTAGTCCTTAAAATATTAAGCAAGTGAAAATTTAAATATTATCTCACAATCAGTTTACGTACATACTATGCGCGCGGAAATAATGTAATTAGTTTACGTTCTGTGTAGTGGATTTAATAACTGAGCATATCGAGTTTTTTGGCTTATTTGGAATTACCACCACTGCCACATACTTAGTACTTAGTATTCGATTATGTCCTCAAATTACTGTCGAATTGTGGTGCGCGGACTCCTACCTGAACAGCTCAACTTGTGTTTGTTGACAATTTTGATATCGTGAACTTGCGATTATGGCCTCTTTATACAGTATCTACATGCAACAGTTTACCATAGAGGGGTGCAAAGCGCTCGAAACGTCGTGACTATAAATTCGTCGTCGCTATAAATTTTTATATTTATATAATTCATGAGCCTTGTAAAATATTTCGAGACGATAACAGAAGCTTCGACGGTATGAGTTTCTTGGGAGAGGCAAAGCCTAAAAGTGGTCAAAGGGAAAATGCACGTACGTTTGGCAACCTGTCAACTCGGTGGTACCTTGTTTTGAAACGAGGCGGCATCAGGAGTTAGCTGAACGGAATTAGTGTCGCAAGTACGAGTCTTTTAGAGATGACTAAATATTTGTACCATTTGCTGTAGAGTCTATCAGATCACGAAATCCACTTACGGTGAAGTTCTTAAAGTAAACTCTATCTTTCTTTTTCTTTAACTAGTTTTATTTTTATTATGAAAATATTATATATTTAAACATTAAGCACGATAAAATTCAAATTTTTCTTCTTTTTATGAGGTTAGACAAGGATAAGCTACCACATGAAATGAGATGTGGTATTTACTGCTGCTATGGAGAGATTATTATTTATTTATTTTTATTTATTTATTGGGTCTACCAGCGATTTTACAATACATACGTTACATACATTTCTTAAAGTATAATTATTATATTACTTGCACAGAGTATGTACAATCTTTTAAAGGTAAACACTACATGCTATTTTTGCTAGTATTAGTGTATAAATCTGAAATAAGTTAATAATAGAAAAAAAAAACAAAATCAGAAACAAACAAAAAAAAAACAATAGTAATTTTGGTAAAAGCATGTGAAACCTGAAAACACATTAATCGACGCGCCTTTTAAGCATTATGACACCATGACGTGACCTCAACCTTACATTTTAACTTAAGTTACTAAGAAAGTCCATATTTTTAACTACTTTATAATCAGAATTATCATCCTTTCGTATCAGTATACGACCATTTCGAACCCAAACATATTTATAACCTTTTTCTTTAGCTTTAAGTCTCGCCGCGGCATGTAGAGCTTTATTCCCAGGTGACAGATGTTCCATGATATAAATGGGTTGTTTTTCTTCACTTAGCCCAATTCCAATGTGTGACGTATTCAATTTATCTCTAGGGTTGCTTTTATTATATTTTATCACCTCAGCCATAACACTGTCCCTGGTTAGCGGAGAATTTAATTGTACTATGACAGATCTCGGTCGAGTACTTTGACGATTTACCTTAGCAACTCTCGTAACATTCGTAATTTTGTCGGTGGTTATATCTAACCCTATGACACTGCCCAACTGTTCCACGATTTTGATTAGATTTTCGTTTTTCTTTTCAGGAACACATTGCAATTCCAAGTTATCGTATCTAGTTCGCTGTTCGAGCTCATTTACCCGTGTGTTAAGGGCGTTTATAGTCGCCTTTATTATAATTAATAGAATCAGGCGTTACTTTGCGGAAATCCATTATATAAAAGCTTTTACAAAAATTTACTTCGCAAATATCCGCGTTATAAAATAAAATGATGTGTCTTACCTAGTATCAAGAAGCACCTCCCGCCCTCCCTCAATTGCGTACACGTACGTGTCGTATTATCGTCAGTGGTGTGTCTTGCCTAGTGTAGTGGTGTTGGAAGTAGCGGTGCTGGGATTAGTGGTGACGGGGATAGTGCACGCAATTGAGGGAGGGCGGGAGGTGCTTCTTGATACTAGGTAAGACACATCATTTTATTTTATAACGCGGATATTTGCGAAGTAAATTTTTGTAAAAGCCTTTATTATGTTAATAAATTGATAAATTTAAATGTTCAATCACTACCAAAATAAGAGTTAGCTTATCACACACCCTCAAATGAATGTATAATTGTGTCTTTTATTGTTTTGCACTAGTTTTTACATTTCACTTTGAATGATATGTTATTTTTGTTTAATTTAGGTTCTGCCTTAACAGATATTAGTATAAAGTTTATATTAACACCAACTATGCACTACTACTGCACGTATTAGGCTATTATATCACTTTTTTTTATATATCACTTCAAAACTATTTTTTTTTTCACTATTTATACGCTAGCTCGATGTTTATCGTGTCGCGCGATTAATGTTGATTAGATTCGAAATAAGGATATTCGCAGTAGAACCAGAACAACCGACATAGCCGAACGGATCTCTTGGCTGAATAGCAATGGGGCGCCCCATATACAACGAACCAAAAGTTAAATAAACATCACTAAAACTCACCAATGACGGACTTGGCGAAACTCCTGTTCTTCAATGTAGCAAGACCGAGATCTCCGATTTTCACGCTTCCCGTGGTGCCAGTTATGAAGATATTATCGCATTTAAGATCTCTGTGAAACAAGTTAAAAATGTAAATTCAGCAGCAAAAATACTTGCTTAATCAGGTTAAGAATCCTGGCTTCTAAGCCAGGCCCAAACAAGGGCATAAATTTAAATTATATTTTAAGTTTCCAACCGATGTGCCCCAACCCGGTTTCATTAGAAAGGCAATAATCTGAAGATAGTTTTAGACCACTTAAAGAATGCATTAGGCATTAACATAAAAAAGTTATTTTTTTTTTTCACACGCCGGGTATCCGCTAGTATTTTATACCCGCCATTGTCACATGACTTCATTAACATAAATTATACATTATGTTTGTATTGTAGAACAATGAATACCTGTGAATAATTGGCGGTGTCCTAGAATGCAAAAAATTCAACCCTTTCAGGATCTGTCGGCACCATGACTTGAGGACCTTCGGATTGATCCTCTTGAATCTCCGCAGGTAACTGTAATAAGAATCTAGAATAAGTGATGACGTTATGACGACTTATATTCTTAAAGAATTCTAGCATATGAAAAAGTCACATTGGAGATGATATTTAAAAGATATAATAATTACTAAACGTTCTACTTTAGGAAATTATAATTAAATAAATATTTTGACCTTTTTCGAACTCAACAGCAGCTTGACAATATTCAAAAACAGCAACAAAGGATATGTAGCGCCGTTAATGTATGCGCATACCATTAACACTCATTATAGTGGAGGATCTGGCTTCAAAAATACCCTCTCATTCTTTTCCTTGATGAAATCATTTTTTTTATACTAAAATATATAAATAAATACAAATCGGGATGCTTGACAACCTGTGTTTTGTCCCGATGTACGTGCCGAACAATTTGTCTAATTATACTCCCCGTGCAAATTGAGCCAGTGAATCGAGCCGATCAGAAAGAACTCGTCCTCGACGATTCGAGCCGCTGTTCGCTGCATGCGGTCAAGTGGAAAGCACTGGGGCGCCCCGGATGAACCGCTGCTAACTTCGGAGCACCCGTCTTCATCAAAATAGTAAAGACTCCATCAGATCCACTCGACTTGACGTAATAGAGAAAGATATTACTCTCCCACCGAAAATTATTCCGCAGACCACGTTTTCAATATACAGTGTAAGCTCTATGTAACGTCATTCGATTTAACGATAAACTCCATAAAGCATCGAAATCACTCGGCTTTGGTTGGTTTAGTTTGTCTTCCATACAATCATACCAACAACCGACGGGGAAGAAAGGTATTATACTATTAGCAAAGTGTAGGGCAGTCCCCCAATATATGTGTTGACAACCTGTTAAGTATAAAAGCTTTTAGAAAAATTTACTTCGCAAATATCCGCGTTATAAAATAAAATGATGTGTCTTACCTAGTATGAAGAGCACCTCCCGCCCTCCCTCAATTGCGTGCACTATCCCCGTCACTACTAATCCCAGCACCGCTACTCCCAACACCACTACATACAACCTGGTAAGTCATGCATAAAGTCGATGAATGCATGGTTCGGGACCATGCTTTATGGCACTCCTTTGGGGAAGCCTATGTTCGGCAGTGAATCTATGAAGGGCTGTAACAGTAATAGAAAGTTTACTCACGCTTTAAGTGTCCCGGAGAGCATGAGCTCGGTGATCAATACAATGTTCTTCTTCTTGGCGACGGTGCCCTCCCAGTAGTTATAGAAGCGCACGATGTTGGGATGCTGGAGCTTTTTCAGCATGTCGGCCTCTTCGCGGAACCGGAGACGTTCGGTTTTGTTCAGCTTTTTCTCCTGTTGAAAGTCAAAAGAATTTCAAGTGTTGCATGTATAGCAGGATAATTAAGCAACGTGATGAGAATGTTTACATTAAAATTAAACCCTTATTTTAATATATAATAACTTAAGTCCAACCATGCAAGACATTTGAAATATCAAGTCTTTTGGTTCCATTTTACTATCTATATAAATAAAATGATTGAGGTTTAAAGTTGCGCGCGCATTATGGAAAAACTACTAGATAGATTTCAATTAGGTTCTTTAAGTTTTATTACTTAAGACACTTGGCCCTTATCTAAAAATAAAAAAATATTGCGATATCTTCATTTAATATAAAGTTATTAAATAATTTAGTTCTTACCAAATAGTTTAGTTCCAAGAAAACATCATAACAGGACAATACAATAGGTATTTAAAAACTAAAACAAAAATTGACCCAGTCTTAAAAGCTTTCGAGATAAAAAAAGTAAAATCTCTATTAAATAGAAATTTTAATAGAAAGATAAATCTAGTAAAATATCTATACTTTGGTCCTTAATAATTTCTACTATTAATCATTTTTACTACTAGCTGTTCCTCGCTACTTCGCTCGCGTTTAATTTAGGGTTTGAATTTTGTTGCGCGGAACCCTAATTATTTTTCAAAAATATAAGTAGCCTAAGTTACTCCTTATAACATGAGCTATCTACCAGTAAAAGTCCCGTCAAAATCGGTCCAGCCGTTTCGGAGATTAGCCGGAACAAACAGACAGACAGACAAAAATTTTAAAAATCGTATTTCTGTTTTAAGTACCGTATATACTTTTACATGCAATTAGTAAAAAGCTGTTATTTTAACATTACAAACAGACGCCTCAATTTTATTTATTTGTATAGATTAATTTTTGCTATTAAATTTACATACCAACAACTCGCACCACGCAACAGCAACCCCAGTTTGTGTGTCTAGCCCATGGTATACTGTTTTGAATGAGCCTCGACCCACTTCCTTGTCATACTTAAAGAATCTGCAAAAAGGTTTAACTTAAATTATAATACAATAAAAAAGATTTTATAATTTTAAAAGATTTCTCAAACAGTCCTAGATTGTGAGTATTAAGGAATAAAATTTATTTTGAACCTAATATTAAATCAGTAAATCCAAACCATACAAAATGATATGGATTGTATGTTTATTAAGTTTAAATATTAGCATAATGTTAGATAATAATTTGACATACCTTCCACAAGGCGATACACCAATTGGTTCTTCTTCATCTTCTTTATCCTGCTTCTGTTTATCCTTCTCCAGCTCCAGTTTGTCATATATGGGACCATACACCAAACCTTTAATGACAATTTCAATATGAAGATTAATTTTTAAAAACCAAAAAAAAGTTATTGATAAACTGCTGGAACAAACAATCTTTATAATAGTATACTTATCAAATAATGACAACCTATATGATTTTTTTCTGAACATCTAAGTATCTATGATTCATTATTGTAATGAATTAGTAATACGTGATAAAGAAAATGGAACCCACACATGATTCAAAATAAGATATTCACTGAAAGTGACAGCTACGACATAAACAGGAAATACAAGCTTAATAATTTAAAAATTGTCTGACCTTGATCAAATTCATATGGGACCACACGAGAAGTACCAGCTTTCAAATAAAAAAAACAATCATCCAAATCGGTTCACCCAGTAAAACGTTATGAGGTAACACACATAAAAAAAAACATACAATCGAATTGAGTACCGTCTCCTTTTTGGAAGTCTGCAGAAAAACAACATAGTCAAGTGTTGTTACATTGCAAGATAATCTTATTTAATCAAAAAAAATTCTATACACATTTATAAATAACTAGCAACCCGCCCCAAGTTTGCCTGGATGGTATCTATTAACTTCATTTATTTAATAATTTAGATTTTTATGGTAATCATCAACGACAACTAATTTTATGAATTTTTCGTTTAAAAAAAATTATATCCTAGTTACTGCTGTTATAGCCTTAGATTACTGCTGATATTGTTCTCTAATCTGTTCGTGAAGTTTCATCACAAATTCCGAAGATTACCCGGGACAAACAGACAGACAGACAGACGAACATTTTTAAAATGTTTATTCATGTCTTAATGGTATGCAAATAACCCTCTGAGCTTAATGAAAGGTAGTTGTTAGTTCGATATTACAGACAGACATATCAACGTGATAGACGTGCATAGATTTACTAACTGATTATTATGAAAAAATATTCGATTGATTGCCTTTAGTCTTTGATACTCTCTTCAGAGTCAAAATCGCATACAGTTGACACATTTCTAAAAAGGCTTCTCCAGTAGTAGATTTAAAGAAACTTCTAAAGAACGAGCCAAATTACAATACTCAACAATCATAAATATCTTTTTCTTTCTTCCATGTAAGAAATTATTCTTATTTTCGACCGACTTCAAAAAAAGGAAGAGGTTCACAATTCGACTGTATTTTTTTATGTGTGTTGTTACCTCAGAACTTTTTTCTAGGTGAACCGATTTCGATGATTCTTTTCTTTTATTTGAAAGCTGGTGCTTCTCATGTGGTCCCATATAAATTTGATCATGATCTGAGCAGTCGTTTTTGAGTTATCCTTAATAATGTGTATTTAATTGACTTTGACTACATTGATGATGTTCTCATTTCATTTATATTTAAATCGGTTGTACAAAATTTTTAATTTTACCACTTGCTAGTATTAGTGTTATATCGAAAAAAATGTTTGGCATTATGCAACTAGAAACCTACCTATCATGGGTAGGAAATGTGAAGAAATAGACTGTGTTTGAAAAATTATCCACTTTTATGATACACGAAAGTATTTAACATTATATTATATTAGTTTGAAGCAGTTATATTAGGCACTTGTAGTAAATTTTTTACCGTTTTGCTGTTCTTGCGGCTGCTCCCCTCCTGTATCATCTGCATGTGGTAGCCCCTTTTCAGTCGCTGTCGCAATTTCAATATTTTCTTCCTGAAAATAAAGATAAAATTATGAAAAATTTGATACTTCAACATATGAGGAAGTAGATATTAAATAATTTTGACCTTTTTCAAGCTAACCAATAACATGAAATTTAAAATGATATATTGATCCATATAAGATTAAGCTCTTTGAGGTGTATAAACACTAAACTGCGCTTATTAAATTATACCATAGTAGTAAAATTGTTTTAAGCACTGGCATAAATATATATACATGTCCACCTGCAGTGATACGAAAGTTGCGAAATCATTTTTTGCACTCAACTAAAATATGCACCACGCTGAAGTGTATACAGGCATATCAGGCTTTTTATGACGTGTCGTATCTTACTGTACCATAATAAAGTAATGTTGCGAAAATTTACGATAGGGCTTTTCACAGCCTTGTCACAACGTAAATGGTTCGATGGTCTGAATATGTTTTCGTTTAGTTTAGATAATCGGAAATATAGTAGACACATCTCGGCTTCAAATGTACAAGGAATGTCACTGTAATTTACTGCTTTCTTTTGATTAATTGGGAATTGCTGTTCTGATTTGAGTATGACTTCAAGGGAATTGTGCTCTGAGCGTGACCTTTGGGAATTGCTGCCCAAGTTTGAGTATGACTATTAGGAATTGGAAATTGCTACTAGTTCCAAGTACGACATTTGGAAATTACTGTCCCCAGTTTAAATATGATCTATCGGAATTGCAGCTCTAGTTTGTGTAAAGGATGACCATCTAACGTTTGGAATCGAAATTATAGGTTATTTTGAGGTTGGAAAGTTTGATGACATTTCCGATGTGACAGAAAATTAGTATAGTGTTTGACATTTATGAAATGGGTCCCTTTTAGCTTTAACAAAGTTGTAAAATATTAAAAACTTATTACCAAAATGGTGAGTCTTCTACACAAACTACCTTAAACCTTAAAAAAACCGTCCAGAGAAGATTGCCGACTTGAAACATGAAATCGAATTTGCCAATGACGAAATAGAGGCCCAAACAATGTAAGGCTAGGCATGGCAGTCATTTGAGTGATGTCTTTCATTCCTAAATGGAAAGGTTCAATCTTTTTAATAAACTCATAACTGAATAAATATTTTTTTTTTATTCATATTACAAATCTTACATGGCCCACTCCATATTACTACAGGGATTCGCAGCTATAGAATGAGTATAACCTTTGGAAATATCTGTTCTAGGTTTAAAATTACCACTGGGTATTGTTTTTTGGGAATAGTCAGGTATCTGTCACTTTTTCTACCTGCGTGAAATAATTACCTACAATCGCGAGGCTCCCCGGGCTACATTCGCAGTCGGGGATGGCACGTTCTAGGCGATTGATTGTTGTTAAAGATTTTTAACGCTGTTTACGTAAATAGTTTTAGAACTAAGTTCCTTATCGCACGGTAGGTACGAATTTGACGTATTGGGGCTAGGCGAGAAAAGCGTGAGATTTTTCCGTCACGACCTCCTTTCTATAGTGCGAGCGAGATGTAATAATACCCATTTTCTTCGCACTTTTCTTATTTTGCCATGAAAGAAATATTATTTTAAATGACGCTTCATTAATAGGCAGTAGTAATTCATTTATTGGTATTTGTTAATCAATAATATAATACGTTTATCAACAATAATATACTACGAAAGGAACTTCGTTCCAACAGTGTTCCACGACACTCACGCATGTTTTTTTGTAAATACTTGTTTAAATTGTTATTGTTTAGTGTTAGTATAATTAACTGTTGGATAAAATAGTTGAAAGTTTTAATGTAATTTCAAAATAATATACATATATGTGTCGGAGCGTCTATAAAATACCCGGTTGGATCGAGGTAGAAGGGAGGGTATATCGAGAAACTCCCTCTTGTGTCTGTAGTATAAAGTTCACTGTAGGTGCCGTGCGCGGGAGAGTTCGCTCAAGTCATTCAACGAGTGTAGTCATTCTACTAGTGCTAAGATAGTGTCGTGGTTTTGTTCGTTGTTGTAATTATTCTAGTGCAGGCAAGGAGGATTGGTGTTGCTGAGAGGCTGCCCTGTGTTACATTGAGATAAGTAGTGTTGCTGTTGCTGTACACATTTTGGTGTTATCATGTAATTACGTACCCCACGTTACACTGGTGTGTGATTGTGGCTGAGACGTATTACGGTGTGGTCGAACTGTAATTTCACTATACTGAATGTATAGTGTGTTACGTTGTCTTATTACTGATAATGATTAAACTGCGTAAGCAAGAGAGCAAGTTGAACATCCGCTCTCACACTTTTATTATTTTTAACAGTTAACGCTATCCTGACGTATTTCCGAGATCAAAATTGCAATCCTCTGTTGTAATTCTCCGACACCAGAAGTGGGATCTCCTGTTTGTCATTTCCGATATCAGAAGTGGGATAAAGTCCCTGTTACTGCCCACCTATAAACTTAGAATAGTGTGAGGGTTATTACGTTGGTGAAATACTATGATACGCCTCGCGTTTTGTTTTTGTGTTTAATTTCTTAAATGAAGGTTGTTGTCGTATTTACGACACTGACGAATCATTAAAGTGTAGATTAAAAGTTTAAAGTGAAATGTTTTAAGCCAAAAGTTAAATCTTTTTGGTCGATTTATAATAAAAAGTACCCGCAGGTACTTTCATTATTTCTTAACGTACCCAAATATGATAAGAAATGTCGAAAGAAATGTTGGAGGTATTCTAAATGAGTTATAGTTTGCATTCAGTGGATATTTAACTTGCTCAAATTATGTTTTGATATTTCATACGACGTGTGATTTACATGGGCTAATTTTAAAGTTTAAAATGTTTAAACGATGTACCGAAAAATGTTTAACGTTAACGTGCTATTAATTAGAAACACTAAGTTGTATTTCTGTGTTCTAATGTATTGATAAGTGCTGTAACACTTTTTTTTTTACTGCGAATATTACGTAGTCGATAAAATTGGGATTTGATGTTGAGGGTTTAGTGGAACGCGTGGTGCTGTGGCGCTCGCTCTTGAGTGGAAATATGCTGTCTGCTTATGACGCCGCGACCACGTTATTTGCCGCTGCTACCGATCACCATTTGATACATGAGGAAAGCAAATCTATTCCTAACATTGTCTTAAAAAATATTTTGTAAGAATAAGTGTTTACATTTTTAATTGGTTGCGAAAAATGCCGGAAAACCAAAGTATAACTGATGAAAGCTAAGTAGAGCAAATTAGTTCTGACATTGAAGAGAGTATTTAAGTTTACATGAGGATCGAACCATACCAGAGGTTGTCGTGTAGCCGCAGCTCAGTATATGGTGCTCTGGAAAGATTAGTGACCTGAAAGTACTGCTGCATTTTTTAGAAAAAAGTTCCTACTGAATCTTTTTAATGTTTTCTTTTGTGTTACAGTAGGACGTGTGATATGATTACATGTGCGCGAGCGTAGCCGATGGTGTGCCTTGCTGGTCGGAACGGACTGCCAGGTCCAGATGTAGCATGGCCTGGCTTCGGCACACGCGTATGCTGTACGCGTGACGGGTGATTTCCCGGAGCGCGCGTATGCTATACATGACGATGCCTCTGAAGTCGTGTACTCTGTATGCGCAGAAGTCGTACTCTGTGTGCGCGGAAGTCGTATACTCTGTGTGCGCAGTAGTATTTTCTAAACATGTATCAGGCTCTGTCCTGGCAGGCGCTGTCCTGGTCCACGTTTTTAATGTGGTTCACGTAGTTAACGTGGGATCTCGCAAGTTCAAGTAAGAGTATGTGTCAGATACTTCGTATGAAGACCTATGTTTACTTGTGAAAGGGAAGTGCTTTCTTATAGTCCACGGTATGAAAGCGTATTTCTGATTGAGGGACTGGTATGCGTGATGGATGAGCGGATAGGCAACTGTGTATGTTGTCCTGATAGTTAACAATTTGTTTTTCACGCAGATCATGATGACTACAACCCCGACGATGCCTGTGAACCCTCAGGTGCTCCTGCTGCTCGCGTTGACGCTTCGAGTGCGTGATGCGGCGCAGCGTTTTGCTGGCGCTAGTGCGACGGGACAACTCGCTGGTGCGAGTGCGGCACGACCTGTGCTGTGTTCTTTAAGTCACGCGCGCTTGCCACATGGTGGTAGCTAAGTATGGCGTGTGCTGGTTTGTTTTAACAGCCACGTGCGCTTGCATTATGTCTGTCGCAGAGGCAAGCAGTGAGCGACGTGTTGACGTTTATCATGTGAGCAATCCCAGCGGTTTGGTGATGAATATTGGTGAGTCGTATCCATTTTATTATGATTCTGGGCCGAATGCCCTATCATCAAAGATTGTGTTGTGGCAAAAGTGTAAAAATACCCCCTTGATCATGTGAGGAAGATCCCCGATCACAAAGTTCCTTGAGATTTAGAAGTCATAGTTGATGACAGTGGTAGTGAGACCAAATTTGATTAAGAATGCTTGTATACTCATACTCAAAACTTTAGACCGCACCTCATGAGTAACATGTGGCGATGGGTCTGTAGGAAATCGTTGGTGCGATTTCTGTCTGTGTTGGTGCATATTTGGCGGCAGATATGTAGGGAATTGTTGGTGCGATTCCGGCATATGTGGCGGCAGATGTGTTGTAACATATTTGGCGGTGGATATGTGGAGAATCGTTGGTGCGATTCTGGCATATGTAACGGCAGATATGTAAAGAATCGTTGGTGCAATTCTGGCCTGTGCTGGTGCACAGAGCCCCTTATGTATTGTAGCATATGTGACGGCAGATATGTGGAGAATCGTTGGTGCGATTCTGGCATATGTGACGGCGGATATGTAAAGAATCGTTGGTGCGATTCTGGCCTGTGTTGGTGCACAGATTTCAATGAAAGTTTCACGAGTTGAATATGCATTGCTTATGAATTGTAAAGAGTAACAAAATTGTTAAAATTACTGTGTTGGAACTTATTGATCGGACCTTCCACGATAAATCATGTTGTGCAGGAAGCACTGTGTAAGAAGCCTTAATAACAAGGCATTGTCAATTATGACAGTTGACTATT